AGGGTCCACTTATGGTCTTGTGAACGACTATAAATTAGATTTTCTCTGCTTGACCAGGACTTGACAGCAACCTGCAGAGTTTGAGAAGCTCAACCTCAGCACTCCACCTGGGTTTGTGTACAAGCTCGCGCCTCCGGACATGAAGGTGACCTGGTGATACTTTACCACAAGAAGAAGTAGAAGGTGTCCTCTCTCCATGACTCTCCTCACCAGACATTTGAATCCATTGCACTGAAAGTTCCTGGTACTTTTCTCTGTATTTTTGCTGCCGGCCACCCAAACGTGAGTTTTTAAATGAATATTTAAAAAAGGGAGCACCTTATGCTCCCTGTCTTCAAATGTCATTTTCCTTGGTAACTTTAATATTCACTTGGACAATACTGTCAACTCTCTCAGAAAGGACTTCACATTCGGTTTGGACAGCCATGGTTTGAAGCAATATGTAGACTCCCAGACACACTCAGAAGCACATATCCTAGATGTAGTTTCTTGTGCTGGTGTAATCCCTTTGTTCTTATTTTGTCTGATCATAAGCTCGTTTCCTTCCAGGCTAACTTACCACTCTTCGAAATTGTTCCATCACATTTAGAACATTGATCTCCCGACTCTCTCTTCTGCTATTAACAACCGTCCCCCTCAGAGAAAACGTAACTACCTGTGATGAACAGGTATCTCATTACATTAAAAGATTGCAAAGCCTTCTGGACATGTCGCCCGCTCTCACTCTGCCCCCTGGTACACACCAGAACTACAAATGTGAGGGCCGCCGTCTGGAGTGGCTCAAGAGGGAAACTGGACTTACTATTCACAAGCACATAAATCACAATCACCTGTTGAAATACAAAAACACTACTTCCAGTGCCAAACCTGTTTATTATGCCTCCCTGATTCAATCTAATGAGAATTCACGCACCTTGTTTTCTACATTTAGTAATGCTCTCCAGCCCTCTGACACTTTCCCCCTCATGAATACCCTCTGCAATAAATTTATGAACTTTTGTTTACCTCAAAAATTGAAAAGATTCGCCTGCAACTGTCTTATCCTTGCAACACAACTGGTTGCAAATATGGATGGCATATTTCACTGCCATCCATCAGTGAAATATCCTCAGTCTATAAATCTAAACCTCCACCTCTACTTTGGTCCCTCTGCCTACAAACTTTGTTTTCCCTCAGTCTTGCCTCTCATTACTGACATCATCCATTCCTCCTTCACCTCTGGTTCTGACCCTGCATTACTTAAATCTCATTTTATCAATACTTAAGAAATTTGGTTTAGTCCCCATTGATGTTAATAATCATCCCATTTCTAAAGTATTCCCAATCCCAAACCCAGACAGCAGTGGTATGCCGCAGGGCACTTTCCTGGGGCCACTCTTTATTATTTACCTTCTCGATTCCTGGGAACCAATTTCCATCGCTACGCTGATGACACCCAACTCTACGTCTCCACCAGACAATTTGTCCTCCTTCTCCCTTCTTGGCAGTTTGGTTCTCTCATCAGCTCCTCAGACTTAATCAAAATAAAATTGGAATACTTCATATTGGCCCAAAATCCACATTCGTTAACAACGCCACTGTCCTCCCCTTCCCACAGATCGAGTTGGGGATTTCCTTGGCCAAAGTTTAATTGGCCAAGTTAAAAACCAAAACAAACCAAGCTCAACACCAAGATTGTAGCTTTGCTAACACAACAATCATAATATGAAGGTTGTTCTTCGCACTTTCAATTAAATCTTAAATGTAATATTAAATATCGGAAAAACTGTTTGCTCTTCATCATAATTTTATGTGTTACTTATCTATTGATCATAACTTGTCATTCATTCATTTAGTTTTTTTGTAATGCTGTTTGTAATTCAGTCTTTCCTTTAGCCTTACATTTCCTGACATAGTCTGAAAATAGCCAAGATGAGATTTGTCTGTGTGGAAAGTTAACACCTCTGGTGTTTACAGAATAAGTTCATTTCCTGTCTACTTGCAGATGTTTCTGCAAGCCTGCAATACACCCATTACAAACATATCACACATGCAGACATGTATATAAACAGGATGGTTTGAATCATTTGAGATGCCCTGACACACACGTTTGGTGTGTTTTATCCACTTGTCCTTGTTAAATAATGAAGAGACTCTGTAAATCTTGTGATTTCTGTTACAGTTCAGGAAGCAATTTAAAATATTTTAATTTGTCTGTGCTTAAACCACAACATAAAATTTAATAGCATTCTCATTCTTAATAAACAAATACAAATTTAAGTTACAGATTTATGGTGTGTGTTGGCCGTGCAGATGGAGAAGCGAAAGCACGCTAAGAAAAACATAAAAGTGGCGCTGAAAAGTTGAGTGATTAAAAAACAGATCTTCAGGAAAAACACCACAAACACTTCTGTATTTCATATGTTGCTCTGTTTGCAGCACTTTTTAATCCTTTGCTCACAATATGCTATGTTGTTGATGCAAAGCAATCTTGAAAGTCTCTAAAGGCAGTTATAAATAAAATGTGTAATTACTAACCTGTCACATAAAAAGTTTGCGGTTGTGACGTAAAAAAATGTGAAGCAGTTCAAGTCTTCTGAATGTTTTAAGAACTAGCTTGAACATTAAGCATGTTAACCCTGGCCATCTGTAGTTATTAGAAGAACCACTGTCCACAAGAGGGAAGTGTTATCACATTCATTTACCTCCCAACTTTACCGCCTTGATCCTGTCCGGATGCGTCAGGAGAACACGATGAAATGCCCGAGTGGGAATATGAGGAAAATAAGGAAATGTGGGTGACATACATTTAGTCAGATGGCTCAAGAGGTAAAATATATCTCCACCCATGCACACAGGCTCATAATGACTCATTTTTCTGGCAGGAAAATCATTATAAGAGCAGTCATCTCTTCCTCTGCATTTAATTTACAAAACTCTTACTTCCCTTCGAATATGTAACGGGTCGGATCAGAACTCAGCCCCCCCCCCCTCCCGACTTATTTATTCAGCTTGTGGTTCACATGAACTCTGGCTGTGGTTGCTGCAGGCGCCATTGAGGGGATCTGTGGTGCGTCCCTGCTCACACAAAAATGTACACTTTGTCAATTACTTAATTGATTTGCAGTAAGTGGTGTAATGATTCATGGAGCTGTCAATGTGAATGTTCTATTGAATCGGAAAGGGAAGTTTGCAAAATATGAGGTGGTGTAGAGGCTTTACAAAAATATTGGTAAACAAGCTTTGTGTGAGATTTCAACAGGGCAAAAAAGTGAGAAGGATGTGCCTTCAATCTGAATTGTGTTTCCCTTTAAGACTGTGAGAAACTCACTAAATCGTAAAATACAGAAGCAAATGTTTTCTCTGGTCACATTTGCAAAGTTAAACTTTCTGAACAGCAGATTTTTACCTTTGGTTTTGATTTGCATTTCTCAGTTTTTTTGTTTGTTTGTTTTTTTAACTGAGAAACTAAACCACAAGCTGAGAGACTTGGTTCTATGTATGTTTAGGGGATTTTAGCCTCTTAAGCAGTGGTGGTCTCTGCATAAATGTGGCCCTGGGCGAGGCCCTCATTCTGGGTCATTAACCCCCAAAAGCCCACCTCAAACGTAAGATTTAAACAATATGTAATCAGTGGAGAATAATTAATTACTTGGTGTAATTTAATGCTTTTTAATCAAACATAGTGCTAATCTGACAAGAAAAAAGCATTAAACAAATATTTGAAAGTTCATGCAGCGCAAAATGTGATTATTTTGCGCTTTCCCCTCTTTACACCTTTTGTAATTTTGATCGTTTCATACCCAATTATTTCCGTCATAATGTCCATGTCAAAAACCGACACTGTTACGTTCATCTTAGGACATCTGCAACTTTGATTTTTCTTTTTACACAAACCTCCCAAAATGAATAGTCTTTTTCTCACAATTTTTGCACAATCACCCCTTTTCCATTTCATACTTTCCAATTTTAAATGTGTATTTTTCACTCATTGTAAAAGACTTTAGTTTACTAATTTATTCAGATAAAAATAATTAAAATTCTGAAATCTCATATTTAATTTGTACATTTTATCTAGAAACTTTGAATTCCATTCAATTTCAATTTATTTAGCTTTTTCTCTGTGTAGGCTAGCCAATTTCAAAAAATATGCCAGAAAATAAAACAAAAAACACACAAATCAAAGTGTCCTTGTTAATATTATTAGATTTATTTAACATTACCTTAGAGTACAGCCACATAAAGTGGAAGAGTGTAGTAGTAAAATTACAGAATAACTTTAAACTGTGGTTGTTGGGGGTTATGAAACGTTTCCAAGGCAGGTATCAATGCATGCATGGTCGGTATGAAATGTTATGTGACTGATAGTTAATTTTCAAGCCTAAAAAAGGTGTAAAATAACCAGAACTAAAAGGCATGAAATGATGAACGGGTAAATTAACATGGATCCTTTCTCTACTTCCTAAGAAGTCAAAACAGGGACACTCAGTCCCCAGTGGGCAAGTAAACAATATCAAATTCATTTTGGGTGCTTGTGACACCCCTAGAATGTGCTGCCCTGGGTGTGTGCCAGACCCCCCCAAACACCTTACCAGAAACCAAAACAGCTAACATCTTCACCTTCACCTTACAATGTCATTAATTCCTATTCGTTCACTCAGTATTTCTCTTTGTTGTTGCTCTAAATGTGCAGCCTGAAGTTAGGGCTCCGTTGCTCGCTGTAATATTTTTGCAGGACAGTTCAGGCTCCTCCCCAGCACCAACGTCACCCGATCCCTAACAAAGCGTCAGCGATAGTCGGCAACACATTGTGGTGGCAGATCTGCGGGGCGCTGCGCAAAGCGGGACCAGCAACGCTGCATTTCATGTCCCCAAAATATTCCGGGAGAAGTGCGGAAGAGCGCGCATAGAGATCTCTAGAGTCACTGCAACTTCATCGGCCGGCTGTGCTGTGCTGCTCTCTCCCTCCCCAGTCTGCTCAGGCTGCTGCAGACCGGAGGAATTTGTAACTTGCGGAACTGAAACTGGAAAGCGTGATCCGTTAGGCGCACTGTCAGTTTTCGAAGGAAGTTATTATTATTTTTAATAAACGGCCACATACTTGGAGTTGCCTTCCCAGTGTTGGAAACTTCCCAACGCAGCATCGATCGAGATCCTCCCGCCCACTTTACCTCTGATCCACAATACAGGAAGGCGGAGAGAGAGAGAGAAAGAGAGAGAGAGAGAGTTGAGCAGCCGCAGCGGTGGATGGAGCAACAAAGGCTGGATGGTTAAACTACAAGAGTCCCTCTGAGGAGAACTCAACAGCGCTTTCTGTCGTCGCCTGATATTTTCTTAACTGGAACTCTGTATCAGCTTGGATCTCATTCCGGGGACCCCATCCAGAGCAAACTCTCCAGAGCCAACCCAGCGGGGGGGAATTCGTCGCAGACGTGAAATTGATGCTTTGGCACGGAGAGTCGCGCCGCCGAAAACGTAGTTTTGCGAAAGTCTCCTGTAGCCCAGTGAGGGAGAGGTAGACCAGTCTGCGGCCGAAGTGGGATTTGCAGAAGTTGCATGCGTGTTCTTTGTCGCCTCGAGTGAGTCCCGTCCACCCGCTCTCAGGTTATCAGAAGAGACCCACCGGGATAGTTGAGGTGCCATGGAGCTGTTCGCGGGGATGTTGGCATTCCTGTTGTGGCTGCAGGTCCAAGGTAAGCCGCAGTAATCCACAGACACCAGCAGGGAATCTTCTGCCTTGTTTCACCATGACCTCCCGTCTCAGTGTTGCGTGTGTGCAGGATGATTGTTCTTAATCACTCCAATATATTGGAGGTGCGAATCGATTTGATTGCATGTTTTGGCAACAAGGTGTTTAAGACTAGTGAGGTGAAAATTGGAAAGCGTTTTTTTATTTTTTTATTTTTATTTTGTTTCTCTCTGTCTCAGAAATCTGCCCTCTTCAAAATAAAAAACGGCTGCAGAATACTTATTGGGCTGCCAAATAATGAACTTACCAGGACAGCAGGCAGATGGCGATATGTGCGAGTCATGCAGGCCAAGGCATCCTTAAGTTTCCCAATAATTCATTTTAATGGCCACTGGGCGACACGCAGTGCAGTGGAATGATAATTGAAACGTGTTATTCTTGCCTCCTATTCTGCAGTTAAACGCAAACAATCAAAATTAGATCAAATGAGGTGAATCTTTGAGGGGAGGGGGTTTAATTTGTGATATGTTGGATTTTGTTAGGGCAGGGGCGTATCCACAAAGTTTTTAAATGGGGGTCAAATGGGGGGCAGTAATAGTCCTGAGGTGACCTGTCAAAGCCCAAAAGGCAGAATACGTTTCAGGTGTTTTATGATGCTGCTGTCACATAGAGGGAGGTGGGAAGCAGAGCCAGGAGTGAGTGAAGGGGATTTAAAGATGGCACACAAAAATAGGAGAGAATAAATAAATAAACTGTGGGAAATACTTAAAAAAATGAATAATCTAACAAACTCACGCTACAGATGAAGATGGAACCATTCAAACAATGATTTCCATTTATCTTTAAGTTTTCTCTTGTCTGCCAAATGGCTTTTTTTTCTCTCTAGGGACCACAAAAAAAAAACATGTTCCAAAATACAGGTTCTAGATATAATACCAAATCCAAATGCAAATTTTCACCCAGCCCCGTGGTGGGTGGCAACACTGTTTTCAGGAAAAGAATGACGTTTGTCTTCCAATCTGATTTATGCCAGTTCTGGAGAAAACAACTCTGATAAAACAAAGTGATAAACCAGTTGATTTGTTGTAGCACATGCCATGCATTTCAATTGAATCGATTTTAAATAAAAGTTCTGAGTAGAAATTATAGAAATGTAATTTCTAAACACATTTAGAGAAATCAGTTAAATTCCAAAAACAGTGTAAATTTAAATTAATGTTCAGCTAAATGTGCTCTTCTGGTTTGCCTTCTGTCTTTAAAAATTAGTTTGTAATTATATCAACTTTAAATCTCTTCTAAGAAGTTGTCAGAATAAAATGTGCTGTTCATTAGCAATGACTGCCTTACAGTTAAGAAGCTCAGCTAGCTTGGGAGATTGACTTTAGCATTAGCCCTGTTGCTAAACTAGATAAATAAAAACTCAAATCCTTGCTCAAACACAGAATTATTTTCAGCCACAAATCTTTAGTCCTTAACTTTTACTTAATTAGTTCATACAGCTCATATAAACATATTAAAACTGCCCTCAGGATTAAGAAGCTTAGCTTGCTAGCCAGTGTGAGTTTTGCATTAGCACTGTCTGTCACTAAGCTAGCTAAAACTTTGTTGGATACAAAGTTAAACCCTTGCTCCAACAAAAATAACAGAACTTTTTCTGAGATTTCATATTCATATATAATATAACCTATTTAAACATTTGCACAATCCTTAGCAAATTAATTATGACATCTTCCTTAAATTTATCAAAAATATTTAGTCAGGCTTCATCACCTAAATACAACTGCTCAAGTTTGAATTTGATAATTTACTGAACACTGTGTTTTACATACACTTATCCACATTTACAAGATTTTAATGACTAATATTTAATTCCCTCTAAGATGCCTTTGTTGTAGAGCATTTATGTATGTTTGAAGGGGCGATAGCTGATAAGTGGATGACTAAAGTGATATTTTGACATTGATCATCTTGACATTAATGCTGCACAAAGTGACTCTGATTATTTCCACACATGCCTAATAGGCCCATCAGACTCATTGGAAGGAGTGTCATTATTCAGGTTGTATTGACAGGCTCTAATTGGAAAACAAAACAGGCCCACGAGGAGACATGTGCGTACGTGTTTGCAGTCCATTATGCTTAAGGGGGCATTTAAGGCTTAGTCGAAAGTTTTACCGGTTTGCTTACATTTCTGGAGCTTCAATTTCAAGTAAGAAAAGGAAGAAGGTCAAGTGTGGTCAAGAAATATCAGATGTTTTGATCGACACTGATGGGTTGATTTTCCCCCGATTGGCTGCTGTTTGTAAGTGAGGTTTCCATTATCCCCGTTGTATGTCTAATAAATTTTTCCTTTTGGGATATTTTGCCTCGTTCAGCTCCCTTTTCTGTAGCTTGAGAACAATCGAGATTCTGACCTTGTTGGCGGCGAGGCTTCTTGTGGGGTCATGTGTTTAAGTCTGATTGAATACTTTGATCAAACGCGCTGTCTGATTTATATTGAGATGATCCCCTTGCTTGTGGAGAAGATCAGGATTAGCTGGGTCTCTTGGGATTCGTGGTGGAAATCGTTTGAAGCTGTTCAATCAAGTGTGCAGGAAATGTCTCAAAAAGTGCCCTCCAAGCATCCTGGAAATTTCCTATTCAAGTAAAGCAGGAGCCGGTATTGAGGCATAATTAAGACGCTGTATAAATACGCTTCATGTTTATATCCTTCTCTTTATTTGATACCAAAGCAGCTAAATAATTAATGTCTGCAGACATCTTTGGGGAGAGAAGAGACTTTAATTTCTTTGGCTACATGAGTTGGTAGGACCCGTTTCTTTTGGCATGCAAACACAAGAATTCGGTCTTTCACCCTGAGGTTAAAGGGCGATACCATAAATGCCCGCCTGTCTTTGATGGCCTAATTGATATACAGCATGTTTCAGGCTCCCCCCCGTCCCCTCTTTTTTTAACCAAAGCACAAACAAGTGAGAGAAGGTCGAGACAAATGAATGTATAGCAGCACAGAGAAGCCTGCTGCAGTCATCCACGGGTTGGGAGACATTTGTGCTTGTCATGGTAATAGCCATTTGTGGAAAACAAAACAGGTCCAAATTCGTAAACGGAGAAATGTTCAGAGCTGCCTGCCAAATAGACTGTCAAATGGAAGGAACAGTGAGCATAACAGATCTGTGAATAACAGCAGCAGCTCCGGTCTGCATTCTTATATCAGTGCTCGGTCTCTCCAGGATTCCAGGCTGATATTTAATTGGATGTGAATTGAGTTAGCAACCAGGTGTCTGTTTTTTATGACTTGGCTCCTTTGGAGGGTCATGCTGGTCTTCCAGCCTATATTGATGTAGGTATGAGCAGTGGTGTAAAAGTATTCTCTGACTTATATTATTCATATTAGAAAGGCTTCACATTTGGGAAATCAAAGTGAATTGCTGAAGTATTCATACCGCTTCAGCGTTTTCTCATTTTGTCAAACTTTAATGTATTTCAGTGGGACTGAAACGAGTGGAGAGCTGTGAATTGGAATGCAAGTAATGTTTGGTTTTCAAATCATTTTACAGAAATAAATTAGAACTCTTTTCTAATTTATTTCTGTAAAATGATTTGAAAACCAAACATTTGTGTTTGTCCTCCTGAAGTCAGCTCCTTGTAGAGACAGCATTCCCTCTGGCTGAAGTTGGAAGGGTTTTGGGGTATGTCTCTACCAGCTTTCAACATCTGGAAACTGATTCCCCCCCACATTCTTCTTTTCCAAAAAGATCAAGCTCAGTCAGATCTGATAGATCGTTAAATAAATAGAGCCTCTATTGGATTTAGGTCTGGACTTTGACTGAGCCATTCCATCACAGGAAAAGCTTTAATCTAAACCATTCGTTTTATCTCTGGCTGGATGATTAGGGTCTTAACTCTTTTTCAGCCTGTAAAACGTTTTTGGTTCCAATCCCTTTAAAAAAAAAAGCAACACGGTGGTGGCAGCAGCATGCAGGCATGATGCTTGATGTTACCACCAACATAATGCTGTCACCATTTTTTACAATGTGATGGTCACAGCACTGTCCCCTATTATGAAGCTTTAATGGCATCATGAGAGTATGACACTCTTATGTAACATGGTGTGTGGATATGAATGTTGACTGTTGCATTTAATTTACCGTATTTTGTCAGAAAGAGCCAAAATAAAAGTTAATAATTGATGTCAGCTGAGCAGAGGACTTTTGGAGACATCCAAAGCTTCTGCCAAAAGTCAACATTAACCCATCTGGTCTTCAAGATGCTGCTGCTGTTCTCTAACAAACTTACGTTTTGTTATGCAAGAGTTTAAATGACTCCATAAGAAGGTAGGGCATTTATAAAACAATCAATTTTTTCCCTCTAATTCAAAATTAGGCATTGATTTACGTTGGTCTATCTCAGGGAATGCCAGTTAAACAAATTAAAGTTTGTGGTAGTGATACGAACATGTGAAAAAGCAACAAGATTTTTATTTATAGCCGTCTTTTGGTAGTTAGCTAATAAATGTAGCGCATTTTTACTATCAAGACTAAAAAAATAGTTGTTGGCGATATTAGTAATTTTTTAACATTGGTATCAGTTGGATTTGCATGTTTATTAACAAGCGATATTCATGTTCACCTTGTTGCTATTTGTTTCTGGAGGATTAGGAGAGAAGATTAGAAAAGCTAGAAAAATATACATAAAATATTGGTAAATATCGGTCATCAGCCATAACAGTGATAACATCTGTGGCAGTTTACAGTTCGATATAGCTGTTAGGGATGGCCATGAATATGCTGTTATTCAGTATGAAAAGGGATTTATCTGTGGCTCGTCACGTTGTGAACTGAGTTTGCTGCAGACTGCTGCAGTTTGTTCAACACGTTTCCTGCTCTCTCTCTTTCTCTCTCTCTCTCTCAAATGAGTTCCTCTAGCTGGAAGCTTCATCACACATCTGCATTTATTTTCATGTCACTAACCCCTAAACTGTTTGCTCGTTTCGATTCCCAGGCG